TGTCTAAAATTTTTGGAGTGCTGGTTTGGTATTCATGAAGTTCCTAAGGTGCTCTTTGTCATGAAAGTATCTTATTTCATCATCAATTTTGAAAGATAGTTTTGCAGAGTACATCAATCTGGGTTGGAGGTTGTTTTCCTTTAGGGCTTGAAATGCATCACTCCAAGCTCTTCTTGCCTTGAGGATTTGCAATGAGAAGTCTGTTGTGATTCTGATGGGCTTTCCTTTGTGTGTGACTTGTTTCTTTTCTCTAAGTACCTGTAGAATTTTGTTCTTCTGTTGGGTTTCTAGAATCTTAATGATTATATGCCTATGTGTGGACTTTTTTTGATCAAGGCTAGTTGGAGTCCTATATGCCTCACTTATCTGTATGTCAAATTCTTTTCCCCTCCTTGGGAAGTTTTCTGCCATCACTTTTGTAAACAATTTTTTTTATGTCATCTGCACTCTCTCCTGTTTCTTCATTGACTTCAATCAGTCTTATGTTATTTTTCTATGCATTGTCTAGCAGTTGCTGGATTGATTTCTCCTGGTCCCTTACAATTTTAAAGAATTTTTTTTCCTGGTCACTAATTGCAATCTTATCTTCTATATCTGAAATTCTGTCTTCACATTGGCTCATTTTGCTGCATAGACTTTCAATGGAGTTTTTAATCTCCTGGAAATCTGTTTACATCTGTTTTATGGATCCATTTGTTTCCTATGTTGGGATTCCATCATGTTCCTCAGCTCCTCTATTTTTTTATCTGTATCCTGTCTAGATTTATTAATCATGTCTTGCACTATGGGCACGATCTTTGCCATTATGTGAGAAATTATCTCTAATTTCATTTTTTCCAGATCCTCTTTTGTTGCTAGTTCAGGGCGTCCAGGTGGTTGAGTATCAGAGTGTTCCATCTTGTTTCCCTTTGGGGTTGCTGTAGGTGATCTGGAAGTCTGGTTCTGTGGCTTGTTTGCCTGTCTTCTCATTTTAACGAGCACAGCGGGGGGTGTAGGGTGGGTCTGTGTTCCTGGCACCCGCGCAGCTCACCTCCTCAGGGCTCCGAGCTGTGGCAGGCCTACCCGGAAGCCTTCTGCTGCCTGGGAGCCATGGTGAACTGATCTGGAGGTCTCCTCTGGGCTCAGAGCTGTGGCATGCCTACTTGGAAGCTTCTTCTATGCTAGGAGCCACAGCTCGCCTACCCAGAAGCCTCCTGCTGCCTGCCAGTATTTGTTTTATATAGTTGAGTGCACTAGTGTTTGGTGCATAGATATTAATGATTGTCATCTCTTCCTCTTGGATTGTTCCCTTTACAAGGATGTAGTGTCCTTCTT